ATTTTGGTTTATGTAGGCCAGTATCACGAGATTCAAATTCTAAAGAACTTTTTGGTGTACTTCTCTATATTGCTCCAGAAGTACTACTATATACAACTGGAAAGGAATACACTTAAAAATCAAATACCTATTCTTTTGGAATAATTATGTTAGAAGTTTTTACTGGATATCCTCCATACCATAATATTCCACATGATTTCGGCCTTGCAATTAAGATTTGTAAAGATCTCAGGCCTAAAATTAGATACAAAGTTCCTAAACTACTTTTGGATCAGATGAATAAATGTTTAGATGCAGAACCTCAAAAGCGACCAACTGCCGAAGTATTTATACAAGTTGATCTTTGAATCTTTTAAAACCCTCTAAACCTCATTTAATTTTCTGATTTCGTTAGTTTTTTCCTGTAAAAAACCCATACTACTAATATTTTTTAATTTGTCAATATCTTTTTTTAGAGTGTCAGAATCAAAAAAATTAGGAGTAGTTTTGCTTTTATCAAGACGGTAAGCTGTAAGAATATAATTTGTCTCGATATCCTTATCTAAAATCTTTTTGATATCATCTTGGACGGCTTGATATTTGTCTGCTTGCTCCTTGGCTCGTTTCTCAATTTTGTCTAATCGGGCTTTTGTTGCCTCCTTGCTGTGGCAACTAATATAAAAACCCCGTCCAGGTAATAGCATTTATTTTTATTTTTAAAAATTATAATATTATTAATTGTAAAAATATCTGAATTGGCCAATATAATAAATGCAGGTAACAATATTTATTTTCTTACCTATTTCAATATACAATATTAGTGATACAAACTGATAAAAATATCTTGGGCCAAGATGATCTTAAAAAATTTGGGCAGGTTGACTGGACTGCCCAATTGGATTTTAAATTGTAGTTTTAGTATATTTATATCTCTGATGGTAAGTAATATATGGAATCTTTGCTAGGAAAATCACTCTTCGGGGGTTTTCCGATCAAGCTAATTTGGAAAAGCTTAAACCATTATTATTCAAATGTAAATCACCTACTTTATTTATTCGATAGTTTATTAAATAGACTGCCAAATCAGTAAAGTAAAAAAGAGCTTTACATATGAATAAGAACTGGCATTATAGTCTAAGCTTTTCTGAATTAGCCTGATCGAAAAATCCCAAATAGTGATTTTCCTAGCAAAGATCTCATATTCGATTTATTTATAATCAAACAAATTTATTACTTATTTGTATATTGGTATTTAGAGTAAAGAAAGTTATTTAT